TTTTCCAGACCTTGACAGCTACTACTGTTAAAGCAAGACTAAACTCAAGCCTAGCTCCGCTAGCTTTCGTGACATGTCCAAATGCTCCGGTCTTGCCACTCGCAGAAGATGACACCTGCTTTGCGTGATAAAGACGCTGGCCATTCCATTACGGCGATGGTGGGCAAAGATCTCCTCAAGAGCTGACAGACTCTTTCGTCAAGCACGTTGTTGAGCAGCTCAGAAGATGTACAAAGCGACATGCGCGTTCATTCTAGTACCAAATTTAGCTTGCCTTGGCTCGCTTGTCCAGCAGGCGTTTTGCCTGCAAAATTGGTAATTCGTGATAACTCTGGCAGACAGCAACGAAAGCCAGCTGGACCAACGCTTTGTTGCTCTACTCTCCGGCACTCATGCAAGTCTTTGAAAGGCCTCTATCGACTTGCTTCCTCCCGGCGATGTCAGTGACAAACGGATAGCCTGCCACTGCAGACTCACTTTAGAAGAGGCCGCTGCGTTGGGAGACGTTTAGGGAAGTTCTTGGGAATGTTGTGACATGGAGTTAGAAACCATGAATCACCTGGCAAGACGGCTTATGACGAATCGGTGGAAGCTTTGGAGCGTTTGATTGATGCACGCCACCCGTTTCTTCCCAAGTGAAAGGGTGTGGGGAGCTTGCAGGATGCGCACGTCTACGAAGTAGAAACCATGGAGAAGCCTGCAAAATCTACCTCGTTGATAAGACCACATCATTTCCTTGGCCTGTGCTGAGCATGCAGCGGCAAAATCCAACATCCTGGAAGGCTCTGGGACTAGCTGAACACAAGCTGTTCGTGAGAGGATGCGTTACCAAGCACAGGCTGGACGAACTAGCTTCAAATACATTGTCAGAGCCTGCCCTGCACTGCCCGGGGGCTGCAGCAGGATGTGACGCGCGCTAGCTGAGTAACGTGCTGTTGCTCTCCAGTAATTTGCATCCTGATTCGAGCTCCTTTTAGGCTTCGAGGTTGCCAATTCGTCATGGCACTGCTTGAGCCTTGCTCCATAAATTGCTGGTCTTGCCCAGCGCCCCGTGGCCTGTGCCAAATCATCCTCCTCATGAGATTGAAGCTCGTCCTGAGGCAAAAATCGCCTCAAGAGCTTCTCCTGAAGTCCACAGGCCAAAAGCCAAGCTGCGAGCCAACGGAACAGGCATGTGCACCTTGGCACGAAAATTTGCAAAGAGTTCGCTTCAGGCAGAGCTGTCCAGTCGCTGCATAGGTGGAGAGCTAGACGCGAAGGAAACCGGTGGGTGAATGCAGTTGATAGAGAATGGCAAGGAGTGTGAAGCCTGTGGGATGAATGAATAGGTGAGTCAGGCATCACTTGAACCACCAGCTGAGCTCCCAAACGTCATCAACATCGCAAGGATCATGCTCAGGAGACATCTCCAGCGGTACCTCAGCAAGAGTGGGGCTTTGTGGAGCTTCATTTCCTAACTGAACTGGAAGCACCATCTGCGGCTGAATGCTCGCTGAGGAGAAGCCAGCCTCAGGACCTGGCATAGACACTCAGTCTGACCAGGTCATGCTGACATGTTTTCCGGGAGGCTCTTTGAGATGCTGAGACTCTGGCTGAAAGTCAGGGCCAGCACAAGCCTCTGGCTGTACCTCAAAGCTTGCGCTCGGAACAGCATCAATCAAGCAAAGCTTTTAAACAACACAAACACCTCACAAAACATTTAGCACAGGAAACGGTGTAGCACAACTTGTCCCCTAAAAACTGGGCGCCCGGACGGTGGAATGCGGGCGACGATGCCTTTCTCTGCACGTGAAAAGGTACACCCCATTGACCTGGAGGTATAAAAACGACTCTGACCAGGTCAAGCAACTTTCTGAGGCTTTCACTCCGCCGCATCCGCCTGCGCGACACAAACCAGCGAGAACGCATCAGGCGCAGCAAGACTTGTTGGACTTTCCTCGCGTGGCCTGAATTGCAACTGCTTGAGACGATGAGTTCTCAACCTGAACGCTGCGCAAAGCACGCTGATTTCTTGAGCAAGGTGAGAATTCATCGATTCTGCTGAATTGCTTCACCCTGAATTCCCTAAATCCTAGGCTAGATACATCTTATCTTCACAACTCCTCCTTCTCACAGGTAATAGGGTAGCTGCACAAAAGCCGATGAAAACTAAACGTGCTCAAATCAACTCAAGTGACATTGATTACAAGACGTCTGGAAAATTTGACCAATTTAAGTGAAAACCTGCAGACATGACTGAAAGCACGAGGCTCTCATGTATGTGATATTAGGTAGGTGGGCTCGAGTGTGGGCTCGTGCACGCTTGAGGTTTTGATGCTTCTATCCTAGCTTTAGCCCGCAATTGCCCGCAACAATGCTAGGAGGGCTACCCACTCATCTCACTTTGCCCCTGAAATTTGTTGCCACCCAGTCTTCAGCTACAATGCTGCCAGCGCTCGGAGAAGAAAAGGGGGGCTGCCATCCAAGAATCGTGCCACGAAGTTGCAACCACCAGGCTCGAACTGATGCCTCTCAGCATTTGGCCCCCGGCAACCATTATGCGATCATGACCATAGGGCAACATGGGTTCGTTGAAATGCTACGCTTAGACCCTGATCAGCACAAGTCAGCTTCTCAAACACAAGCTCCTGTACTTGACGCCCGCATTACGCGGGTGCGACCAGCCTCAGCAGAAACTACGGATGATGGCTTCTTGAGGAGTATAGAGGACCAGGGTACTGCTTGCTAAGCAGTCACCAAATTATGCTGCTGTGGGTCCGAGCTCCTGGCAGCGTCCACGTTTCTTGACTGCATGACAGAGGCCCATTGCCACCTGCATTCTATGTTGATACATTTGTGCGGAGCACAGAAAATCTCCTCAAACGTCGCTCAAACTTGATATCAGTTCCGTCCAAAGCTGCACAGAAGTTGGAGGAAAGCTATACGTACCTCATCCCTATCAGCACAAAAATTGATAGGAGTCCGCAAACCCAAATGCAAAGACGCAACACGAAATTCATGTAATTCAACAATCTTGTCAATATACAAATCTCGGTGGCACATGGCCGGAAGTCCGGAATGTCAGTGGCGACGACCAATGGCAGGGAGCGGTGTGTGGACAGGCAACTATCACCCTACCAGGCGTTGTCCGTCGCCGCACGTATATCCGGATAGACGGAAGTACGGTAGGTTTCGTTCAAGTTTAGTTTCGTCTGGGCCTGTGGCCAAAGCAAATATCTGAACCAGGAACATGGGTCCCCACTAACCCAGGCCATCTTGTAGTCTGTTTACAAACTGTCTTGGCCTGAGGATCCTTAGTGGCCGGAGTGTTGGTACAGGACCACAGAGACGAAACTTGATCTGGCATGTGGGGCACCCAGCAGATCACTCTTCACTACATCTTGCAAAACCTGTCGCAGGCGCACAGCTCGTCACAGTTACCCACATGCTCCTTTCCATCCAACGCACCAGCACAAGCCAGAAAATTGTGACAACCACATGCAAATGTTGATTCTCAGCCTTGCGAAGAACAAGTAACAGCGAACATGTCCCAACTGCCAACATACGCAGAGCACTCTTCCCCAGGCCCTCTACTACTCGCCACTCTCAATTCTCCACTCCACTCTCAACTCCACTCTACTCTCCAGTCCATTTTCTATTCCACGCTTCATTCCACTTTCCTTCTCGCTCTGGAAAAAATGAAGCATAGGAGAAGACTACAAAGCTATGCACAATCTACAAAAAGGAGTCTACACTACTCTAAGCTGGCATCCGGCAGCAACCGGGAACTGCGGCTATGCTCGTCAAGGGAGGGACTCAGGAACCATCCAGCGTCTCCTCACCTTGGAACTGCACGCTATTCACAGTGCGTTCGGAGCGACCGAAGGGAAAGAGAAAGGCAGTCGGCACATGGAGGGCTGCAGGGAGCCGGGAGGAGGGCCACCGCCAGAAGGCGTGGGTATAAGGCAGTAGGGCGAGTGTAGAGAGTCACGGCTCTGCGAACGGGGAGGCATCCTCTGAGCCAGAAGGCAGCCTGCGGAGGACTGCCCTGGCATTCTCACGCTGCAAGGCGATTGCGCGGCTTTGCAGGAGACGGTCTGTCTCGGCAGCTGGCTCCACACCCTACTCTCCACAATCCAATCTATTCTCCAACTCTCCACTCTCCACTCCACCACTTTCCACTCCACCTTCCTCTCCACCCTCGACACTCCACTCTCCACACGCTCCACTCTTCATTCCACTTTCCCTCCATACTGCTATAGCAAGAGCTCCACTGTCCACCCTCCTCACTCCTCCATACCCCGCACTCCACTCCTCCTCTCCATTCGCCAGCCTCCACTCCCATTCCTGTGACTGTTAACACCTTTGACACGCGATGACGACACAAGGGTCCACAAGCAACGACCGTTACAAGGATGGCAACCCTCATGGGTCCGGAATTTGAAGTGGAAACAGAACTCGAAACTGTCGAGACTTGGAGCAGGCAGTCAGCTTCAGATTCGCCCCCTATTTGGGCAACTGTGAAAGAGGCATAGTCCAATGTTTTAAATGGCCTCAGTCAGCGAACAGGCATGCTCCCACGCCCGCCTGTCTCCAAGAAGATTCGATGCGCGACAGCCTAACCCGCTTCACGGAATGCACCGCCAGGATTCCCTGCAAGCATTGCCCGGTCTGACGGTTCAGAGTTCAGACTTCTGCAAATACTTTGGAGAGATCCCTCACTCTAGGCCTTTCGGGGAGCTGTGCCATGTAGCAGCGCCAACGAGATTGGGATCACACGATACCGTAAACCCGCCTCGGCCAAGAGTGACTACCACTGTCGCCCTGGGAGGTACAGCTTGAGGCTCAGGCTTCCAGGATGACTTCGACGCTGACCTGATGCGTGCTGCTTGCCCAAGTATCGCTGATGAGCCTAGGGGCCTAGGGTCTTTGCTGCCTTTCCTGCCTGTGGAAATATCTTTTCGCAGAAGAACGGAATAAAAAGTGGAACGGGGGCAGGCAGGAACATATCTCCCAGGGTGACGGGTGAAATCATCATCTACTGTACAGTATTTGTGGTCATTATCTCCCCAACTCGGGCCGCAGAGCGCAAAGTTCGAGACTCCCGCACAGTCATCAAAGGAACGAAGAGCCACGTCCACTAATTCAAACCTCATGTCCAAGCATGATGCGAGCATTTCACGTCTTGGCTGAAACCAGACACTGGGCCAATGGCGCCTCAGAGCCTGCAGAGCCTGTTCAGGCGCGCAATCACCCGTAGCTGCTGGCTGCCACCAAAGTTGAGCAACTCGACACCGGAGAAGTAGTGACTCAAGCCCGTGCTGATGCGTGAGGCTTGTGTACCGCTGCTGCCGAAGCGCCAGCACTAGCAGCAATCTACGCAAACACCACAAAGCTCTGCTTGCTCTTTTGCGTTGTACCCACGCTGCCTCGAACGCGCCTTGCCACAGTGCTGGGCCAGGGAATGTAGGTTTGGACTGTGCTTTCACATTCATTCTCAGGAGCGCTGCTACTGATGTTCTGCTGATGCAGCTGTTGCTTTCTTGGTCCCTGGCACAACAACGAGCCCGACATCCAGGTTGGTGCAGTGGGCGCCAAGCCTCGCTCCAGCACCCCCAAAGATTAATAAGAAATACTGATACCTTCAGATACCTGATTGCCCTAATGTTTCGTACCATTGAAGTAGCAAGCCCCGAAAGGGCAAGGCAAGATGGATTCCTGAATGAATAGTTGAATTAAACAAGTCCAAATATGTCCTAACCTAACCGTCTTGACGCATTTTCAGGGTCTGGCGCCCCCTCTCGGAGAACATGCCTCTCCTACCAAGTGAGGCACAAATACACGCCGCAGCGTTTCAGCCAGTTCTGGGATTTGCTCAAAATGGCTCCACTGTAAGGATCCTGTTCTCCTGCTTCTCCATGGAGGTGCATGGTTGGCAAGCAACGAGAATGTGCGTACAGGCAAGAATATGCTTACAAGCTACCATATGCTCACACTGGCATCTCGCAGAACCAAACAGGTTATGCAAAACTCCTGCCAGAAGGCCACGTCGACATTGCTTCGTTCCTCGACCATGAGGTCGAAAGCCTGCATTCTGGGCTGTTACACGGCAGGATTGCACAGGTCTTCGCAAAATATTTGGCACTAGATGCACTAGTCACTAGTGTGTATTTGTAAACACTACACGAGCATCGTTAGATAATCAAGTTGAAGCCGAGAGGCACTTCGAAACGAACTGCTACGAGCATCATAGCACATCTACTGTCTGTTAACCTGCGGCATACAGTAGAAATGCGAACCTGCTCCAGCGCAAGTACGAGAACTGTACCCGTCACCCACCACAATAGACTATATCTCAGGCGTAAAATACTTCACGAAAGGTAGATGGCAAGCTGGTGCTGCACCCCGGCAATACTTTCCACATCTGCCTGGCCAGCACCGACACCGGACGGCAGCCAGGCCGATTCTCGAACCTGTTCGATCAGAGATTGGTCATCTTGACTCGGAACTCAAAAGCAAGATTTGCTGGCATATGCTGTTTTGCTTCTACGCGTTTGCATCTACCCCACCGGAAACTCTTTCACTAATCTGCCTAGCATCTATCAGCCACAAACCCCGCAATGCGTCCTCATGCCAATTGTGGTGGACGCGGCATATCTCCACCTGTGCGAAGTACTCCTGGCAAGTTCCAACAGCTCAATGAAGTTCAGTCTGCAGAAGTGCAGCCGCGAATGCTGACCTTGACATCCTCGAAGGCCATCCAAAAAATGGACATGGGGTCGTCCATCAGAACGCCTGCAGCATAAACATGCGGATCAAGTCACGTAGAGTTTGCATCGGAGGGCCGCATGTTGCGGATACACTGATCGACAGGCGGACGGATCCGACGTGCTAGGAATCCTTCATCGGACACTTTGCTTCAGCATGACTAGGGCTTCAAGCTCTTGCGTGGCTGTGGGAAACGGAGCCAGATGCCTGGACATATGGACTGTTCTGCCTGAGCTGTTGATGATGCCCAGCTGCTTCTGCAACTCGGGCGTCCATCCTGGCCAGTCCTGCACAAGAAGCCACACATGTGCAGCCGTTACCAATCTTCAGCCCAATCTTCAAAGCCGTGCTGTCGGTGGGCTACACCAGACTCTCAACTCTGCGCAGGCCTTGCCCCATTTTCCCTTCCAGGTGCGGGGTGCATTTTGGCCCCAAGGATTCCGGATCCTGCAAAGGAAGACGCAAAGCAGGGATGAACCCAGGGTCAGACTTGCGAGGCAAGCGGTACTTGGAGCATGGTCCAACCGTGTCCACCTTTGGCTTAGGCTGCAGCTTGACCAGTCGCGCGGTCTGCCCTTCAAGAGCCACCTCGCGCACAATTCTGCAAGACGCTTCTTTCGTCAATGAACAATTCCGAGTCCAAGCCTCTGCAAAATCCAAGATTCCGTATGCATGTGGTGCCTGCGAGGGACAGCGTGTTGCACAGAGCTAGCGTGAGGGCTACGTGCTGCCAAAGATGTACCTTTAGCGCTTCACAAGCTTGCCTGGAGGAAATGCTTCTAGTTCGTTTCTTGCAACACCCAGAAACTTGAAAATTCTTCCTCGCAGCCCAGCAGTCAGATTATGCGTCAAGAAGGCAAGTTTTTTTTTCTGCAGATATCAGAGCAACTTCAAGCACCGCGGCCTGCAGTCCCATCTCCTCGACTATGTGGGTCTTGGACTTCTCACAGCCTCAATCTTTTCAAGGCATGGCCAGGGTCCATCTGACCAAACGTCAAAATGACGTCAAAATCTGAAGGCCTTCTTCAGAGCAACCCGCGCCGAGTAAGTACCCAGCTTCCTTCAAGGGCAAAAGGGAGCGCAGGCTGGAAAACATCTCGATGTTTAGGTCCGCAAAATAGTGTGCAACGTTGACAAACAGGTCAATGCAGCCCTTTGCTCTGAAACATGCTGACTTCAAATGGAATGAAGACCAAGCCTTGCAAGAAAGTAGTTTGGACCAGATCAGGTCATCGTCATCACTATCATCACCTGGGCGGTCGTTTGCGTCGCGTCGCTGAAAGCAAATGTGTGGTCCCTACTGCCCTTTCTTCCTCTTGTCCGACAGTGGCGGAAGGCAGCTGGTCCCTGCATCAACTTGCACGGCTCTCTGACTGCTCTCCCACTGCTGGTGGGGCAGCACTTGACCAGCTCCAGGCTCGTTCCGGCCAAGCAACTGACTAGCTAGCGGTCTATCTCTTCAAGGGCTGACATCTGTCGCAATTTTCTGCGGAGATTTCCTTGTTTTGCGATTCATGACTTTCTGACTAGCTCAGAGGTGCTCTGGCGTTCTGAGAAGAGTTGTTTCCCTGTTCTTCAGGGGAGGCCATTCCCTCACACCAAGTTATGCGAGCAAGCCCAAGGAAAGACGCAGCGTCGCACTGCGGGATTCAACTGATGGGGTCTAACGTTGGGCTGCACAAGTCACAAGCCGTCACTTTTTGAGCTGCCGTGTCGCAGTCGAGTCATAGGACAAGCCCATCTTATCTACTGAGTAATTATATGGGATCGCTTGAGCAGTTGCTTTGCAACTACTTCGCCCTTGGGGCAATTCGGCGGCGACAGGTGCGACTCAGAAGTCTCACCTGATCCGGAACTAGATGCTTGCAAGGCCATCTGGAATAGAGAGCCTGAAAAGAAAAAGAAACACTTGCTGACCTACTGGCCTCCTCAACTTGCTGGGCCAGGTGAGACGGCATTAGCATTTGGCTTTCAAGTCCATTTTGTTCCGGCTGAGCCACGTCTTCAGGTCCTGCATGCCGGGGTTCAACTCCTTCGACTTGGCGGGGTTTCTGATGTTCACGCAGCTATCATTGTAGTAGCGGCAGTACTGAAAAGCGTTGTACCAATAGTCGGCAGCAAGGATGCCACTGCTGCAGTACTCGCCCTGATCAGCGCATTTAAAGCTTATTGAAGTTCCCAGAGCATGTGACAACTGGTCCGCAATCTCTGGGCCAGTGAGGAGCTCACTGCAAACTGGTACGCAGTGGCCAATAAATCGATCAGATGATTGGAAAATGCTATATGCACAAACACCTATATCCTCGGCAGCCACCAATGGAAGCGGCCTAGTCTTCATTGGGAGCATGAATGTCCGATGCTCAGAAACATTCCTAGGGACCATGGCAAAAGTGATCAAGTTCTCGAAGTAGAAGGCGGGGATGAGAAATGTAACTGGGAGATGAAGGTTGTGAAAGAACTTCTCACTGCCGCCCTTCCCGTCGAACATGGGTACCTCAGCTCTCAGGCGAAAGCAAGTCTACTTGTCTAGCTTCCTCCGCGCCGCAGCTGGGAACTGCTGGCCAACCCAAAGCGCTACAAGACTGATTTCAATCGAAGCTTCACAGACGCATCCTAGAACCTAGACAAGGGCATGGCTCAAGGGCGGAGCAATTGTTTGTGGGGCCATGCTCCAGGAGCAAACTGACCATCTGGATGTGACGTCAATGCCAAGCAAGCTCAAGGGCTGTCCATTTTCATGTACATGTACAGAAAGGCAACAGGAATCCAGATTATTGGGGCTCCACGCTGGGTTTTCCAGTACCTTCATGGTGCTTGGTGCCTTATACTTGTTGGGGGGAGAAGATGGTCTTCAGAACACCACACATGCACGAAAAAATGTGGAATGCGTAAAACTATGCCACATACGGATATACTTCTGGCAGATGGTTTATGATGCGTTCAGAATGTCCGGGGCTGCTTGACACGGCTCCGACCTATTCGGAGGCCGCGTATGGAAGCCAGACCAGCTGTGATGAATGGAGCGATTGGGCCGCAGTATGGACAGTATGGTGATAAAGAGCTCATGCAAGTCTGCCACCTGTAGGTGAGGCAGGCATATGGTGAGGCTTATGCACCTACAACTTACAAGGACCTGGTACATGATGCACATGGGGAAAGGAAGCGAGGCTCAAAGAAGCTGTGCAGGCCAGGCGCCACACTGCCCTTCTGGAGCCGAGGAATCCGAGAATCGTGCGGTGGCACAATTTGACGCGTATCTTCAGCGGTTGACCATATCACATGGTGGACCTGTGGGCTGACTTCAACTGCTTCTTTGCCGCCACCACTCAGTCGGCGCAAGAAGCAACAGCAACATTCAAGCAAAACAAGGTTAGTCAGAACAAGAAAAGGAAACGCTACCATGCGACAAGAACACCAGGCACATAGTAGACAGAGAACACAAGGGACATTTGAAAAAAAGATCAGCAATGGCAATAACCTTGTGGATGGCTGCACTAATACAGCGCAGCAAAAAAAACACTGAAACATTGCGCAGTTCAAAGAACGGGCAGGTTTGTAATCTGAATGCCTGCATTTCCGCCGCAGCCTCAGCGTAGATTTTTGCGTGCACACGCTCCTTCTCCGGCGAGAAGTGGTCCTCCCAACACTGACTGATACTTAAAAAACCGCAGAACTGTGATTCTCTTTGCGTCAAGCCTCTCCATCCAATCAGTTTATCTTCATAAAACAGCGGTCCCAGAAGAAGGTGATGCAGAAAGCACCATAGGCCCCATTCATTGCTGCCTTGACTTGTTCCTTGTCATCGATATTACACTGGAAGACTTCAGCGCCCAAGTCAGCCAGCGCCCTCGATGCTCTGGAGCACGCGTTTCGGCTGACTGCGCGGACGGCAAAGCTTCGCTGCGGATCTTGCCTCAGAAACTCAAACTCTGCAGTCACGAGGCATAGTAGAGGCACCTGATGGAATCTGCTTGCACTCTTATCGTCCTGCAAAACAAGGCGCAATATAGCACGCACTAGCGCACCACCCTGCGCACCAGTTGCACCAAATACTACGATGACCTTCGAGTTCCTGCAGGACGGGTGCCAGGAGATCAAAAAAGCCCCTGATGTGTTCTACTTAAGCTGTGGGCAGACACCCGTGGATAATTGAAATCTTCTCGGGTAACATGTGCAGGCCTTGCAGTGTTCAACACAAGTGACCTTGCCTGGGTTTCAGCAAGAACTCGCGACTAAGAGAATTTTGTCTTACCTCGTTCTAATGCGACGGCTATTTGTTGACAGTCAACGTCAGCTGTGCAAAGCCATGCTTCCGCCGCAAAGCTTGGACGTGGTCTGTCCCAGATGAGAACCATTCGCGGAAAGGCTGCACTGCCACCAGCTCACGGGTTCTTGTAATGTTCCGGATCTTGCAAGCTTCTTGGTTGCAGTCGGCGAAGTACTGAAACCTCACATCACATCGCACAAAGATTCTGTTGCAAGAGGAGCTCTGGGCGGATGTAGACAGCTTCATAAATTCAATCTGAGGCACATCGGTCCCAACGCCTCAGACTTGGAAGCATGCTTGGTGCGGAAGTCTGCTGGGGGCAAATATCTGAAGGTCACCTCTTCTCCCAGGTACTCGGAGAAGACTTCTGCTATCTGCGGACCAGTGAGTATGTCGCCACAAGCAGGCACGTATTTCCCGACCATGTCCTTGCCTTGACGGAGGATCCCATCGACACAGTTGCCAATGTCGTCTGCTGAGACCAATGGCATCGGCTTTTCGATTGGCAACTCAACAACAAGCTTACCATCCTGAAATCTTCGTGGTGCCAGGCCAAGGGCTTCAAAATCAAAGAAATTTTCGTAAAGGAACGATGTGACCAGAAAAGTTGTTGGTACTTCAGCTTCGCTGAAATAATGATCACTTCTGCCCCTTCCGTCGAACAGAGGTACTCTGCATCTGGACTTGTCCAGCGGCAACGACGTAGATTCGCTAGGAATGATTGCACAGGTATCTTCCTCAGCTATTGAAGAGCACTTTGAGAAGGGGCCGGAAAATATCTCTGGGAAGAACCCTAGGAGTTTGCTTGTGTTCGGCTGACGACAACCCTAAGAAAAGAACCCTCCGAAATTAACAACGTTGCAGGGCACAAAACTTAGTAAAAATGATGGCTTGTAATTGAGATCAAATCAAAATCCTCTGCTCCTTATCCTTTTCCTACTCCTGCTTCTCCTAGCACTACTAGCACTTCTTCTACTACTACTCCTCTGACGACAACAACGGCGAGGACGACGACGATGAGGATGACGACGAGGACGACGTCGAGGACGACGACGAGGAGGACGACGAGGACGACGACCACAAGGGGTATAACTCTTAAAGCGACGTCAACATTGTGGATTCATTCAGGCTTTCCAAAGGCACCATCCACTTCCAAAAATGTTCGCATCTCCAACCAACTGCAACCCTGACATCCACCGCTGCCTTCGGAGTTTCACACATACCCAGAAGTCAGTTTCCATAGCCTGTAAGGTGATCAAATCTAATCGGTAACCCCAGCTTTTCGGAAGCCACGTGACAGCTTTTTCGGCTATAGAGATGTAGAAAAGAAGAGTCCAGGGGCTCTTACGACTGGTAGTCTTTGGAGCTTACTACAACAACAACAACAACAACAAGAACAAGAGCACGTCCAGGTGTTCTGCTTGCAAGACTCTAGTGAAAACTACACCTTGTATGCCATGATCCCAAGGTGGCTTACAAACCGCACTTTTTGCAAAAATTGTGGGGCGTGAGCACGAGGTATGGCTCTGAACCGTCATGTCGTGCCTTTCACGCTTTTTTCACGCTCCAATGCTTTCACACCTGCCCATGAGTATATCGCACAAGTGTGCGTTTGATATGCATTTGTCCTATACGTTTGCCAGTTTGGGACTAGCAACACTTGAGAAAAATGTTGCACATTTTGCTGCAAGGCACAGATGTAGACCAAATTACATGCTGCAGTTTGGCCTGCTTTGCAGCAGCAGCGAACTTCTTCACTGCCAGCTGTACTCCACGTGCAGAAACGCTCAAAGAATCTAACGTGAAGTAAGCTCCATGCGCACCATCCTCAGCTACAAAAATCTCCTGAAAACCCACAAGCTTAAGACAAGGCATGCTAATTTGCTAAATCCATGCAGGACAAGAAAAGCTGCGAGCAGTTTGGCCAGCCCGTTCACGTCGCTTGCATGCTGTACAACCTCGCAGGTACGCACTAAAGCAACAATGACAGTGCAACTACTGCGTGAGTCAAGATGGATGGTCGGGAGTATGCAGTAGGACCAGTCTGGAAGGGGAAGCATGTAAGCTCTTCGTGAGCTCAGGGACTCTGAGACCAACAGGTTGACAGACCATGACAGACCCCATTCCCTTTGTTGGGCGGCACATCTTTCCTAGCTTGGCCGGGCCATGTTTCCTGCTGATGCTGAGACCTTTTCACCTTGGAGCACGCCGGGGTGCATTTTCACTGATTCTTGTTGCTGGGTGTCCATGTGATCGCACGATCACCGGGGCTGGATTCATCATTCGTCTCGTCTTGAACTTGGGGCTACAGCTTCGCATGCAACGGCAAGGCCAGAGTGGCTGGATCTACATGGGTCTACCTTTGAAGGGTGTGGCGAGCTACAGTAGACTGGTCTCTGGTTCATTACTAGCCCTGATTACTCCTCGCACACTAGCTCTGCCCTGTTGAGACCTTGCTTTTCACGCGCTTGATTGAATAAGAAATGTTCCGCACTTCTTAAGCTTGCCATCAAAGGCCACCAGCCATCGCAACCACCAAATTCACATCACACAGTACCTGCACATGAAGCCTTATAAGCCTAGCCCTACAAACTCTTTAGCCCACCTCGGCACCCAGCTGTTGAAGGCGCTGAGCTTCGAAGGATGTGACATCGGGCACCACTGCGCGGACCTTCCACCGGTGCTTCAAAAGGGACCTTGACACCTCGGCGCTCAAATGCTGCACATCCCCTCACAGGAAGCCTTCTTGTAACGTGCTCTAGCAAAGCTCTGTAAGTCACATGGCGCTGGTGTGCAGTTTGGTACAGGGAGTATCTCTACGTAGCAAGTCACAGCCAAATAACAGTGTCACCCTAACACATCTGAACACCAATCCCAAACCATGCTTGTCTGCCTCGCTGACCCAATTTGGTTGACTTCCTGCCAACCACTCTACCTGAAAGAGCCTCTCAAGACTGCCCAGATGCAGCGTTGCCCTCGGTGCTGATAGCATCGAACACCACTACGGGCGGTCCGCTGAAGGCGCTACCCATTCACAGTTCAGGGTCTAAGAAATTGCCTTGTGGCTACATGGGAACAGCTGCTACTGCTACACCGAATCGTCGAACAGCAATCTGCATGCCACATGGGTCACCCTAAGCCCTAAGTCCTCCTACGTTATGTATGACTCTTACTCATGATGAAGAACACCTTGTGGGCTGGGCTTGGGAGCAGCCAAATCTATGCCAGAGGTCATGCCTTTTCCTCAGCCAACTACTTTGGCAGCGTGCACACGCAGGCGTTAAGCCTAAAAACGTTGGCTTATGCTTTCATCAACTAGATTGTCAAATTTCCTCGCGTGCTCTGGAGTTCGAGAGACACTTCCTTGCAGAAGGAAAACCAGTGAACTTTTTTCCTGAGGTGCTCAACTCTGACCTCTCTGCCTCTGGGATGCCTCCGGCGCAGCACTACTGGCTGTTACGTGAACTGAAACAGACATTCCCTATTGTCCAAGCAGATCCCAGAAGGATCAGTCAAAGGACTTGGCACCTGGCTCTGTTCTCCAGGTACATCTGCTCCTCCCAGCAGAAGTCGCATCCTTTGTTCCTGCCGAGCCTCACGCGAATAAATGGACCGCTTCAAAGCCACACAGCCTGCTTGTGCCAGGTTCTGCATTGTACAAAAATGCCTTACAAACTGCAAATGGAATCAACAAGCAGCAGAGTCATCTGCAGCACTTCGCCCTACACTCAGACTATGTTGGTCTCGGTACGCACCGTTGAATTTGGACTGCCAAACCATGGAGCCCATATCCCACAAGGAGCTGGAGGGTCGTCCCATAGTAACGTTATGAATCATGCACAAGGTCTCGCGCCTGCCGTCTCTCCTCCTTCTCGCGCCGCGCAGCAGCAGGAACGTAAAGACGAAGACGCTGAAAGCAGAGCAGAGATCGCAACCAGCTATGTGCGAGCATTGTGGATCACAGAACAGTTCGTCTAAGATGTGAGCGGGTTCAGAAGCAGACAAACTGTTTGCGGCACAACCCCCCGCAATAACCACTCAACCCTGAAGATCAGCCCAGGAGTGCCCAAGTGCACATCTAAAGTCCTCCGCCACTCCGTCTGTCTACAGTTCCAGACACCTGCAGAAACGCCAAGCCCACCTGCGTCGGATATCCCGTGAACAATGCCAGAGCCTGAGCCACGTGGTTTTACAGCATGCATGCAAGAGCAACTAACATTCTCGAGTGACTGGCCAAGCAGTCCGGTGTCTGTTGCTCCCAAAGATCTTTAAGAACAATCAAACCAGAGGGCACTGTTGAGGACCTACGCGCTCCTTCAGAGCAAGATCATGCAGCCACATCTCGGAAATCACAATATGACCTAGCAGCAACAATTATCCCCAATAGTACCGCGAGGCCTTGAAATCCAGCATCCTCTCTCAAGCCAAGTTATTTGCTTGGATGCAACTCATTTCCAAACCCAGTCACGCCTTCAAAGAATCGGAACGACTTGCACTGCACAACGCTCATCGCAGACCCAAGCGCCCTTGGACATTTCCCAAACTGCAAGGCCTCTGCGAAGGTGCCACCCTTGAGTGCACCGTAGCAGCCTCAAGTGCAAACACGCATGCGAGAACGAAGCTGAAAGGACGAGCTGTGCAGCTCAGGAAGCCGTCACTGGAACTTCATGCTGGGTGCTCGCTCTTGTTTCCCAACATCATTCATCTACGGTCTACACATCAGAAATTGAAGTCTCGAAGCAACTCAATGTCTAGAGGTATGAGGGGATGTCAGAGAGTTTATAAACGACAACCGTAGCAACAGGACGAGGCTGCAGCCAAACAGTTTGGCAGCTGCCTGCGGTAAAGCCCCGAGTTGAGACGTAAGCAAACTTCAAGGACCGTTCTACTGTGGCAGGCCGATGCCTTCTCTACCAGGGGCGGCCACAGCTGCCGTCTGGCCCCCTGCGGAGGAGGAATGCTGTCCATCAACTGAGACGCAAGCCCAATAAGCGCAAGCACAGGAAGGGATGCAGCGAATTCTGTGCTCGCTTTTGCTTGCTGCCACACAACGAACGCCTTCTGACAGAAGCACTTCAGCTGCCCTTGCCTGTACAAGATTGCTACAGCTGTGCTGGGCGCCAGGATTCTAGCGCGCGCTTCCACGAAGCCACGCAGCTTCCGCAATGCTCATCAAAGTCTGATGTCACAGCAGCTGCAGCTGTGGACACAAGCTTTTTGTGCCGTCTGGGCATCATAAGTCTGATTTGACTCCCTTGGGGCATGCGCACTCGCCAGTTGCAACTTCGTGGACTGTACCACAAGTCTTCTACGGCAAGGACCCACATTGGGAGCGAAACACAGACGGCGACACTAAGATCACCATCTGGTTGCCTTGCTTACATGAAGCCACGTCTGTGGTGCCGTCATGACAAACTTCAGTGAAGCCCATATGTCCAGGTCACTACCCGCTACAGTAAGGCTGCGAATAATCGCAACAACCTAGCCCAACGCGGCGTGGCCCAAGAACTGTTTCCCATTATGATCATGTGACCATGCAACCTAGGGCCAGTAGCTTCCAGCGTAGGTGATGCGGGCTGTGTAGACCTTGAGACAGGTACTGGCGTCATACAGCAGTTTTCGAGTCATGCTATCCCATTCCCTCTTGCCTGAGGCTGAAGACTGCAGAGCAAATCGCGCAACCTCAAGTTGCCAATGCTTTGTGAACGCGCGGTTGCTGTACCTGTCACCACTGCCCTAGGTCTAGAAAGCACATGTATTTGCCGTATGCACCACCGCGCCTCTTTTAAAAGGCCAGGCTTGCTTGCATCCCAGTGGCGGCTGATAGAGATCTGGCATCAGCAAGTCGCCTGCCATGGCCAAGCCAAGAATTTGGCAGGCTCTCTGTCTGTTGCGTCTGCAAGTCCAAACATCTAAGAGCACCTTCTTGCACTGAATGATGCCATATTCTTTCTGCAAGCTGTGGGACCACTTTGGCACATCGCGGGTGAAAAGCGATGCTGCCGAGGCCACTATACTAAGTTTTTGAGGATCAGGCATTCCGTGTTTTGAAATCGTGTGGCAGTATTTTTGATTCTGATTGTTTCGCACAAATGCGTCATTCACTGTAGCAAGGGCAACATTGGCTCTATGTACATTCTATTGCAAGGTTACAGGGAAAATTGTACGTGCCTTGTAGGACGGTTTTGATGAGACATAGATATTGGCACGTGCAGCAGTTTTGACTTTCCATGTCGTGGAATTTGCAGGTTTCCATTTTTGAGTGATGGAAGCAACATGATTTTGTTGATTTCGCGATGCACTTCTGCTGTGATTCTGCAGGGAAATGCTTGCGCACCATATCTGGAAAGTTTAGAGGCACACTTGCATTTTAGGTGCAGCAACAGGCTTTTAAGAGCTGGATAAGCTCCATGCTGTTTTGTCTCAGCCGAAAGCTCTGTGGACCACGAAGTCTGAAGCCAGCAGCATGCACAGGAAAGATCACGCTGGTTTCGAGGAATGAAGCAGTGAGCAAAGAAAGCCTCGTTGGAAACTTCGGCGCTGAAGTTGTTAGGTCATGAGGCCAGAAGCCGTTAGACAAAGATTGACAAAGCGCAGCCTGAAACTTGTGGGCGGGGCACAACAAAAATTGAACACATGGCCCGGGGATGAAAACGTGCCTGCCTCATAGCTGGGCTTTCTGGGGACGTATTGGCTTCAGCTTCCAGCGTGAAAACATGAAGGATTCCAGGGTGTGCACTTTGCCAAGCGTAATTACCCTACACCACCACACTTCCAAACCCCAAGCATTCCGCCGCATCCCCGGCAAACGTTAGGAACCCCAATCCAAGAAACATGAAGTTTCGCAACTGTTCCGGGAGACCCGAGCTTAGGCTGGACCCATCACCCAGATGCTGGCCATCTTTACTAAGGCAATGGTTGGGAAATGTGGAGCATCATGCAGCCAGCCTGGCAAAATGCATACAAGCCGTGTTCGCCACACACCCTCTGTCCCTACTGGACTCAATGCGGTATGCGGAGCAAACTTGACTGTTCGTGACCTCCTCGGTCGTTGGCTGGCTTTGACTATCAGCCAGAAAAACAAACAACGGACGCATGAAGCAAGACGCACCTTTATCCGCATCTTCACCAGGAGGCTGCCCTCTGCTTGTCGGCAACACAGGCTCGTCTGTCCGTTTGTGAATCACCTCTCAGAAATTCTGCGGAATCAGTCCGCAGCTCAGAGATTGCAAGCCGTGTTAAAAGATGTTGGAAGGTTCATGCCCACCTTTGCCCTGCAGCCGTCGCAAAGGTCGAAATCGCAAGCTCCACAACCCCACAAATGATCACCTGCTTTCACCTTGCAAGGCATTAAGTCCACATCCATCCTACCACTTTGGGTATGCTGACTGGTTGCCTGGCGATTGCAGCCGTCACATACGTATTGACCATGCGGGGTGGCATACCGCCGCAAAGGATGATCCTGCACTTGCCACGGCGTGGCCAGGTAGAAAGTGAAATCTACAGGGTCACACAGAGCAAAAGACTAGCGAGCAAAGCCAAGGAGCAGGACACAAAACACTTACAGTCGGCGCGTTCAGCTTAAGCGCATCAAGGCCGACAAGAAAAAGCTCCAACGGCCTTCGGACATCGTAGTTTCGGCGGCATTTGGCTGGAAGGACCCTGACCGGGCGCACGATGCTCGCGAAGGTGCCTGGACTCTGCACCGAGCATGGTTAAGGGTTGTTGATCGAAATGGAGTTTCGGCACTCAGCATGCTGTGCTACATCAAGGTGTTACCGCGGTAAGCCTAAACAGAGCTGAAACTTCCAAAGAAACTTCAACAATGTTCGCGCATTGCCTGCTCAATCTTTGACCCTACTGCGAGCTGCACAGTGCATCATGACATTCTACATGCCACCAGCATTACGGCGATCGAGGGTGCCTCCATATCAAGCCCCAAAACAGAGCTGCATCACCTCGACCTCCTGATTTGTTCCAGGACCTGCACTCTGCACATCAGGATTTGTAGCTGCTGCGTGGCTGGCTGCACGCTCTAGACGAGCTGTGCATCCTAAAAAACCACTTCACACGTCCAATCCCCAGCCTGCTTTCAAATCGCCAGCCCAAGTGAGTGCCGCAGTTCCTGCAGATGGCCATGCGCCAAATCCAGCCTGGTGATGGGCTGTGGCAATGTCCAACTTCACTGCAAGCATGCAGGAAAAGACATTATGCAATGCACGAAGCAAGGTGCCATAACAGGTGCCTTTGAACCACGTAGTGCCGTCATCATATTCCCGGCCCTGCACGCAGAGTCACTTACGAGGTGACCCTGGCCCTAGCCTGCACAGCCGACCTGAGGACTTCTTTTGGGCGGTCATACACTGAGTGAAATTCGATCCTCGGCAACTGCGCCTCCAGCACGCGAGAACTGTCCTGAGTAAGATTTGTGGGCTTAGCTGCCTTCATGTTGTGAAGATCTGCAAGTCTGGTCAAGCAAACAGCCTCTCGTTTAGATCTTGTATGAAGCCTAGACCCAAGATTCGCTTGCAACTATGGCAAAAAGCATTGAAAAAGACCGTTCAACAAGGAATGAATGTCAGTTCTGGGCAGCATGCTTGAACACACTAGGAGCCTGAGCCCTCGGCCAATGTCAAAGGTGCAGCCATACCTGGGCAGGCCACAGTAACGTTGATCACTACCATCCCCTGCTGAGCAGTCTTCGAATGTAGCTGAGAAGCGGGTTGGTGTGTGTTGAGCTATCCTGCAATGGCACTTGGAACTCGACTCAATGACTCCTTCACATCCTCTTGAACAGCGACTCCTTACAGTGCTTCTGTAGGGCCACAGCAGCATCACAACCTGTGCTAAAGGTGAGCTCAGAGCTTCAAGGCTCAAGATGGGCTCAGGATGGGCTCAGGATGGTCTGGTAGTTTGCCGTGCAAAGCCAAGATGCATCAACATGTGAGCAAAGGAATTCGTCTCTGCTCGTAAGCCTGTAGTGCATCCAAGCAACTGGAACACCTGCAAATTTGGAACTTCAGACTACTTATTGTTGCATGCGTAGCTCAACGAAGGCCCGTGCTGGGGCGACACAGCTGCTGGGCACAACAAAAATGCTGCCATTTCGTGACAGGACGCAGCACCACCAGCACAGCCAAACAGATGTGCTATGGCCATCTTGCAGAGCAAGCCATACACGCTTAGAAGTTAATGCTTTAAGGCCTCAGGGAATTCGCATCAGGAGTCCACGAGGGAGAAGAGGAGTTAGACTTTAGACATCTGGAATGGCATGAGAACATGGGTCAAACTTGCGTCCTACTGCAGTAGCGATGAATTTCAACTTTATCCAAGGCATCTGCGAGTTTGAGCTAGCTTCCCTGAAGCCATTCCTGCTGTCCAAGGCACACATGCACGGTGCCTTCGCAATCCAGCATTTGCTTCATGCGCAGCTCGCTTTTCAGCACAAATGCCTGGCAGTTAATGATCGTCTGAAACTTAGCAATGCATCTAAGGCGGCCCGATGAGAAACGAAAAATGCCCGCAGCCTCGGATGCCGCCTTCGCCGCATCCAGTAGAAGAGCAAACGCAGGCGGAGTCTCGGGAACGTCATGACCGCGGCAGGCCAAGATTACAAGCCTGAGCATGGCGCTTAGCAACTTCTTCCGTGCACGATTTACGCAGAAGATGGTTGACAGATCAATCAGAAAGCTGAGTGGCTCGGAGTAGCTGTTGATGTTGGTAGGGGCATCCTACATACCAATCACGCTCTGCTCCCGCAGCATACATCCTCTTCACCTGCCTTGGCCCCAGCAGCACTGTTGCGGCACCATCCAATAGCCTCAACGCATTGTAACTCACTTCATGCTATGAGCATTGTCTCCAAGCTTGGCAGTACAAATCTTCGTCTGTCCGCTCACAACACTTCATGCCATCTCCCTCATCTTGTATTCTGAGTATTGAGATTGTTTTTTCCTATTTGACTAACTCCGATTTGAGCCCTCTACTGCGCTTCAGGCTGCTCGGCGGCAGCCTGCGCATCCTTTCGTTTTGAGTGTGTCTTGAGCGCTTCTTGTTGTGGCGAGCCCTCGAAAAGCCTTGTTCCGGGAGCGGGCAGTGTTCTTCAGCCCATAATTGCCAACAATAACTTTATCCGACCCTTCGCCAGGAAGCCGCCATACCATCACGCTTCCCTCCATGGACCATGCGGTGGATTGGCACACCATGTTCTTAGCAAGCAGGCTCGTCGTGACTGCAAGCCGTTTGTGCAGCTGATTTTGCTTTCATGCAAGGCTGGATAGCAGCTCGAAGTTATGAAAAAGAGAATCCTCGGGTAAGATTCGCTAAGTCTTGCACTTTGCGGTTTGTACAGCTTCCTGCCCGTCCTCTGGGCTTACAAGAAGGCTTCCCCTCCACCTAGCTCATCCAACAGAGCAGGAAAATTGAGCTGTCTCTATCACGACCATGAATACTACTACTGCTGCCACTGCTAGTGCTACTGCTGCTGCTATCACTTGTACTCCTGCTGCTGCTACTACTGCTGCTGCTACTACTACTGCTACTGCTACTGCTACTGCTACTGCTACTGCTACTGCTACTGCTACTGCTACTTCTACTGCTGCCGCTGCTACTACGACTGCTGCTACCGCTACTGCTACTGCTACTGCTACTGCTACTGCTACTGCTACTGCTACTGCTGCTGCTGCTGCTGCTACTTCTACTGCTACTGCTACTGCTACTGCTACTGCTACTGCTGCTGCTGCTGCTGCTACTACTACGACTACTACTACTACTACTACTATGACCATTGCTATTACTATTATTAGGACTATGA